AAAAAAAAAAAAAAAAAGTTAAAAAAACTACAAAAAGTACAAGTAAATAAATAAATAAAAAGGTGGTAGTGTATATTTCCATGTTCTGGCCGAAGATTCATTCCGATTTTGCTCATCCTACACACACACACACAAACCGCCATTGCCACACTTCACGAAATGAACAAAATGGGATTGAATCTTCCCCTAGGCCGCAAATGGAAATATACACTGCCAAAGAACGAAAATGTGGCAGTGTATATTTCCTCTGGCTGTGTATGTTTCCATGTTCTAGCCACAGATTCGTTCCCATTTTGCTCATCCTCTCTCTCTCTCTCTCTCTCTCTCTCTCTCTCTCTCTCTCTCTCTCTCCACGGCGACATTTGCATCTGACAGGTCCTTAGTCCATACTCACACCGGGATTTCGTTTCAATGTATCTGTCTGCAGTTACGGGGATATTGACTTCTGGTACCTTTTGGGACATACTCAAACTGGGACTTCGGGCAACTTAGGGCGCACTCACACTCTGACTATCCTTACGATGTACTGACACTAAGACCCTCTGGGACATACTCACACTGCGCCCCGCCTGCAGCGGCATCGCTGCGGCGCACCTCTGACTTGTAATAATAATAATAATAATGACGATGATGGATGAATGAACCAGAATCAATGACGATGATGGATGAATGAACCAGAATCAATGTCCAAATCTTCCCCTTACTGCCGGCCACTCAAGAAGTCCACCACAACCATTCTACACCTCCTTCTTCCTCTAGGTCGTGTCAGTGGCTATGGCGGACCGTCAGAGCCCAGCTCTGATGTTCAAAGGACAATGCAAGGCCACTATGCCTCCGCTATTACTAGCACCATGCCACGATTCCAACCCCGAAGTCTTCCTTCGAAGTACTACCCTACTCAGGGCCTTACAGGTGCAGTGCTAACCAAGCAGATGAAGATGCAGACAGCCATAGCCAAGGTAAGCTTCCTTCTTCACTCTCCCCCTTCTTCTTCCTCCTCCTCCTTCGTCCTCCTCCTCCTTCCTCCTCCTCCTCCTTCCTCCCTCCCCCTCACTTGTCAACCATGGCCATGTCTTCTCCTTCTCCCACCTTGGTCACCTGCACCATAGCCGATGTGGGGGCCAAGCTATGCCTCCTTCCTCCGACCAGCTCCTCACCCAACTGGTGTCCACCTTCAGCAGCCTCATGACTTGCAACTGGGAGAATGAGGTGGAGTGCCTGGTTGCCTCTTCACTTATACTACAGCCGCACTCCACTGCGGGCATTTTCCAGGGTCCCCAGGCCTCTCGGCCTACCGGTTGCGTCGTTGCATTTGGCGGGGACATCATTGCAGTCTGATATCCTCTTTTGCTGGCTCTAGACCTAAGCCTACTGGACCCATACCTGCCCCTAAAGCCCACCGGACTCTAAAATGCTACCATGGCCTACTCAAAGCTCCTACCTTTTCGTCTTTTCTGCTACCCTTCCGGCTACTTCCTGATTTGGCCTTCGTGGGCCTCTTTTCACGTATCCTACCTGCCGCAACCCCAACCATACACGGCCACAAGTCAGTCAGTACCAGGCCCGTGGCCCCTTCCAACACACACACAGTCTCCACGGGGACGCACACCAGCACTCAGACCAGTAGGTAAGCATACAGGATATCAGTAGGCACCCAGACCACACACGCACACCTACCGTCTTCACCCGAATCTAACGCCTGGTCATTATCGGCACATCTGGACTGAAAGTTGGACCAAATGCAGCTATAATGACCGGGCGTTCAGTACCAGGCCCGGGGCCCCTTCCAACGCACACAGTCTCCATCGGGACACACACCAGCACTCAGACCAGTAGGTAAGCATACAGGATATCAGTAGGCACCCAGACCACACACGCACACCTATCGTCTTCACCCGAATCGAACGCCTGGTCATTATCGATGCATCTGGACTGAAAGTTGGACCAAATGCAGCTATAATGACCGGGCGTTCTATTCACGTGAAGACAGTAGCAGGGATCAGAGATCTGCTCCGACACGCACACACCCAGCAGGGGTCAGACATCTGCCCTGACACAGCCATATCTCTGAGCTGTGTGTTTGGGCGCTTGTCGCCAGTTTGGTGTGAAGCCGGTTCGCATGCATGAAAAGTGAGGAAGAAAGCAAGTCTGATTTCACTGGTATTGGAGCTGGTACCCGCTATTCCACGCGCCGTTGAGGTGTGCCGCGGGGAGGTATCGCGCGCCATAGGAGAGGGCGCCATCCAGAGAGCAGTCCGCCATAGCGGACCCGGAGGTTGGAGAAGCCGCCGCGCACCTGCAAGGAGGACAACAACGAGAGAGAGAGAGAGAGAGAGAGAGAGAGAGAGAGAGAGAGAGAGAGAGAGAG